ATTTTGTTTACAGTTATTAGAATATAAAATAATTTAAGTATATTGTACTTTTAAAATACAATTTTACTTTTATCGTAATAAATTGCTAGTAATTAAGTACAGAAATAAATGAAAATTAAAAATATATTAGCATTATTATTATGAAAACTAAAAAACATTTTGTTAGACAGTTATTATTTGTAATATAATCTTTTAATTTGTAATTGAGATTATAATATAACTATTTAAAATTCTCTAGATTATAATTAATTTCATAAATTAATTAAATACTATATAAATGTTGTGTCATTTTGAATTGAAATTGAAATTATAAATAATGTAAACTGAAAATTATAGCACACTGTACTTACTCAAAATAAAAAATAGTGTTATTTATTGATTAATACAAGAATGAAATGTCACAAAACAATTGAATGAATATAATATGATTTAATTAAATGTTTTGTACGACTAATTATTTTTCATTCACCAAATAGTCTCGCATAGGATCGGGTGGAGAAAATCAAAGCCCTCTCCAAACAGATGTCTGGATTAAAGGCCACATAAATCACTGAAGAATGACATCAAATGAACACTTTTGTATGTTTTGACAATAAATTGATTGCAAACAAAATGGTATAAAAGCACAGTATACTCATCGGAAAAAGTATCATTTGTTTGAAATTCAATTTTCAATCAAAACTTTAAACAATGAATTCATTCGTTGCTTTAGTAGCCGTAGTCTGTATGTGTGGACAGGCATATGGGGGGTGGACTGAGGTCTGGAGGGATGACTTCAACGGCAATTCACTGGATCAGAATAACTGGAAACTCGAAACGGGAACTGGACAAAATGGTAGGAATATTCTGTATGACTATAATCCATACAAACCATTATTCATTATATGAAAAGGTTGGGGCAATGGGGAAATGGAGTACTACACGAATGGCCAGAACCTACAGGTGCAGAATGGAGTGCTCACTATCACCGCCAGAGTAGAAGACGTGGAAAACAGTCACTTCACGTCCTCCAGACTGAACTCGAAGAATGCCTGGGCTTACGGCAAGTTTGAGGCCAGGGCTCGACTGCCCAAAGGCAAGAACCTGTGGCCAGCCATCTGGCTCTTCCCGCAAAGCAATACCTACGGGGGCTGGTATGCAGTCATATAGCAAATAATATGCTAAATAACAAAATAAATGAACTAATGATTGAGTGGACGGGTAGGGCGGCCAGCGGTGAGATCGACATCTCGGAGGTGAGGGGTGAGCAGCCGACCATATCTCAGAGTACTCTGCATTACGGCGCCCAATGGCCTCAGAACCAGTACTCCGGCAGCGGACCCGTCGACTTCGGCTTCGACTTCAGCCAAGACTATCACGTGTTCGGCGCCGAGTGGACCAACGCGTCCATCAAATTCCTTGTCGACGACAAGGAGTTCCACACCGAGAATATTGACCGCAATATGTCATCGGGTGCGCCCTATACCAAGAATGGACAGCCCTTTGATCAGCCATTCTTCTGGATCCTTAATGTTGCAGTGGGCGGACAGTTCTTCCCGTCCAACGAGTACGGGCCCGCCGTTACCCCCGATGAGGCCCGACAGTGGCCTAAACCCACGATGGAAATCGATTACGTCCGGGTGTCTCAGTGGCAATAAACACCTAACCGTCCCTTTCCTATTAACAGCTGTTCATTAAATTCTAAAATTTAAAACTAAAACTTTAACTTGCTTATTTTAGAGATTATTTCTGATTTTATTGTATAATTTGTGATTACTAATTGATAGTAAGTTTAATAAAATAAATTAAGTTGGCAACTAATTGTACAGTAAATGTAGAATTTTTACAAATACTTTAGTTTTACTTTTTTAAAACTAAATGCAATAAATTCGTTTGAATTATATTTTAATTTCTGAATTTTAATTTACTATAGAAAATGTGATTATCCAGATCTCAAAACAGTAGAATCTATTTAATTAAAATAATGTCACCAAATATTATAAAGTTACAATTACTTTTACTTACTATTAATGTCAGATCTATTTTTTATAACTGTAAATTTACTTAATTAAATTTAAACATATGGTGTTTCGCGTTTCATTAGTAAACTTAAGTTAAAACTCAATTACTTATAATTAATACGACATTCATTTCTTACAAATGTTGTACACATTGCTAGCACTGACCATCTCTGGTCTATCGTATGGACTAATGTAAAAACACTAACTAATTATTTTCTAATATTAATAAATTTGAAAATAATTTATTTATTATTTATAGCAAATTGTATCTATTTCTGACATTCTGGAGGCGCCGTGGCATACCGGAGCCCACTTGGTGGGAGGGCAGACAATTGTATACCCGACCCATGAGAGAGATATGTATTGACTGGTGTGAGAGGTACGGCAAGTTTGTAGGCCATTACGAGTTGGCCACAATATGTATACAAGTGTCGGACCCTGAGATCATCCATAACATATGCGTCCGAGACTTCGACCATTTTGAGGGCCGGCGCTACTATTTCCTCTGCGAAGTGTTTGATGAGAGTATTGTCTTCAAGAAAGGCGATGAATACCGTCGAGTGAGAGATGTCTTGAGTCCCGCCTTCTCGTCCGCCAAATCCAAACAAATGTTGACATATATGCCCGAAATGGTCACCAAATTGTGCGCTAATATAAGGCTTGACTGTCAACAGGGTATGCATTAAATCATATTCATTAACACAAAATATAATTTTGAATAACCTATAGATTCATAAATTTCTAAATCACTTTAAAACTTGTAATAATTTGTTTTGAAGGCAAACCCATAGACATGAAAAGACACATAAACTCCGTGTGCATAGACGCCACACTGGCCACGTGTTTCAGCGTGGACTGCAACTCCTACCACACCCCCGACCACCCCCTGGTAGTGGCGGTCAAGCGGTTTCTGAGCGCAAGTCTGGGGCCATTACTGGTTATCGGTTTCCTATCACCAAGGTTAGCCAAATTTCTGGGCATACGTGCGGTCAACCCGCGCACGTGCGAGACATTGCGACAGGTGTACCGTGAGGTCATGGATAACCGGGACCAAAAGGGGGTTAAATTTAACCTGCACGCCGTGCACGAAATCAATGAGCACCTCAAAGATTCTGAGTTCAAAGGGTATGTCCACTCATTGAGACTATTATTAAAATGTTTTTAACTATCGATTCAAATGATAGGCTAACTGAGGATGAGATTGTAGGGCTGATCATATTCCTGGTGCTCATCGGCAATGACTCCATCGCCTGTGTGTTAGTCCACGCCTTCTTCTATTTGGTGAAATACCTGGATATCCAGCGCCGGCTCTATGAGGAGGTGTCCTGACTGGACGCCACCGACTTTGAAGCATTACAGGGGGCGCCGTATCTAAACGCCTTCATCAACGAAGTCCTGCGTATAGACCCGCCTTTCAACCGACTGGACAGGGAGTGCAATAAGGACTACAAACTGGGTGATACCGGTTATATTGTACCCAAGGGCACCCTGGTCACATGGTCACCTTGCCATATACACCGTAACCCGGAGTACTTCTCTAATCCGGATGAGTTTATCCCCGAGCGCTTCCTACCAGACACCAAGGAGTGGGCCCACCCTAAGGCTAACCTCTCGTGGGGTTTCGACCCCCGGACCTGTCCGGCCAACCAATACGCTAACCATAAGATGCGTTATATAATTGCCAATACACTCAAGAAAATCAAGTTTCGGTTGCCGGACGGCATTCATAAGGTATCAGAAGATTATATTAATTTATTTAATGTCATGTAAATCTAATATATGTAACAATCCGAGGTGAATAATTATTCAAAATTTAATACACCAGTACATCTTGTACCGTTTATTAAGATTATTGAAACGTTTAAAATTAAATGAGCTAAATATACATGTATTGTAGTTAGAAATTAAAATACAGTACAATACAAATTGACTGTAGTATTACTTGCTATTGTAATATTTATTATTATTTATTTAGTTATTTAATTTTAAGTATTGTTTTATTTATTTATTAGAAAATTATATGTTTTAAATAGTCCTTAAATTATATTCATAATTAAATATTAAATGCTTAAGCATTGTTTATATTCACAGTTGGAATATTTCACCGGGGCAATTGTCAATGTACCGGCTGGACTCACCCTAATTGCTGATCCACGGAACAGGGATATTGCATAAAACCATGAATTTAATAATAGGCTTAAAATGAATTAATTTATAATTTTATTATACAATTTAATTTAAATAAATATTAAAATTAATGTTTAAAATGGTAAATTACATGTATTAAAGTAACATGTTTTATTGTAGTTTAGAGCAAAATAGTATCCATTTTTATGCTAATGTTAATTTTTAAACTTTAAGCTTGCACTTGAAATGCACTTAAATTGTATCTATTTTATCAATACTTTATTTTCAATAAGTTATAAGAAAATTACATGGTTTAAAACTTTATAGTTTCCAATTTGATTTAAATTGAGATAATGGTAATGTTTAGAATAACAATACGTGTGTATTTATAGTGCAGTTTAGTGCAAAGTAGGGTCGGTTGTTAACATTTAAAACTTAAAAGAACTTAAAATGCACTTAAATTGTACATAACTATCAATATAAGAGAAATACACAAGTTTAAAAATTATTCTTTGCATCTAATATAATTATACACCAGATAATGTACTTTTTAAGTTCATGTGAAATCATTCACTAAAATCATATAAAAGGGATATACAGTACATGCTCAGGGAGATTACAAATGTGAACCATTCAGATATTGAACATAATTCAAAATCAAAGACAACATGAATGTGTGTGCAATCGTCCTCATCTTAAGTCTCATATCAATAGTGACTTCAATTTCGATCACAAAATACGAGTCAAACAGTAAAGACTATTACGATGTGATAAACTCGCGAAACTTTACGGGAAAAGTAGTTTTGGTGACGGGATCCTCGTCCGGCATTGGGGAGGGTATTGCCAAACTGTTCTCCATATTGGGGGCCAATGTTGTGGTCACCGGTAGGCGCGGGGATGAAGTCAAACGGGTTGGCAGAGAGACAAAAAAATTATCACCGAATAAATTGAGGGTAAGTTTCAATACAAAA